CGCATCACAAGGGCTCAGTTGATATTAGCTGCTGTTATTCTGTAACACTAATATCCATAATGGCAGAGATTTTATCTGTCTTATTCATTATGTATTTTCACTGTAGAGTAAGTGCTCAATAAAATATGTCTAATGAGTGAATGCAGTACAGAAAAAAGGCCATGATTCATTCCCATTTACTGGACTAGGTCAGAAGAAATAGAAGCCAAGTTTACTTTAATACTTTTTTGTTGCCTTTTTGATACTAATGCCTTGCCTGCTGGGAGTAACATTGAGGTTTTCAATGTGTGTCTTTAGAATAGGTCTTGTTATAGGTAAATTTATATTTCTTTGAAGAGATCAAGAACCAGGGGTCTGATGACTATGTTAATTTAGGCAAAGGATTTCCGTTTCCATCTGTAAAATAGAAAAGGCTGGACTTGAACTCTGCTTTCTAACTTTAAAATTTTATTCTTCCTAGGTAGAATTTGATATAAAAGGATGTGATTTTATTGGTTTGTAATTCTCAGCTCCTTATTTTAATCTGCGGGTTATTTTGGAGAACCGTCTATATGTCTGCCACTGTAGGTTTACTCCTTCAGATAGAAAACCAGAGTTCCTTTACCTTCCTTTTTTTAGAAAAATAGCATTATTGAGATATAATTCCAAACCATACATTCACTCATTTAAAGTGTACGCTTCAGTGACTGGCCTGGTGGCATAGTGGTTGAGTTTGCAAGCTCAGCTTTGGTGGCCTGGGGTTTGTGGTTTTGGATCCTGGGCATAGACCTACACCGTGTGTCAGCCATGCTGTGGTGGCAATTCACATACAAAAAATACAGGAAGACTGGCACAGATGTTAGCTCAGGGCCAATCTTCCTCACCAAAAAATAATAATCTTAATAAAATAAAATGATCACTTCACTGGTTTTTAGTGTATTCACAGATAATGTGCAACCATCACTACATTAATTTTAAAGCATTTTCATCTCCTCAAGAAGAAACTCATATCTTACAGCTATCACTCTCTGTTCTGCACCCCCCAGCCCTAAGCAACCACTAATCTACTCTCTGTCTCTGTAGATTTCCCTATTCTGGACTTTCATATGAATGCGATCATATATGTGGTCTTTCGTGACTGACTTGTTTTACTCACCATAATGTTTCAGGGTTCATCCATGTTGTAGCTTGTATTAGTGCTTCATTTTTCTCCCCTCTTAGGTTCTTTTTAAGCCTATGTGTTTGTCTTTATTTTATCCATGTGGCTGAGGGAGCTGCAGATAGTAAACCTATGTTAACCCCCATGTCTCATTCAGTTTGTATGTATTGAGTGCCTGCTGTGTGCTAGACACTGCTATAGGCACATATTTATTATTTCATGCTGTCCTTTCAGCAGTAGGTACTTTGTGTGTGTAATACGTGTGTACTCTCACACACACATCACAGATGAGAACACTGAAGTTTCCTTTTTATTTATACTCTGTATGTTCATTCACTTACAGGCTTGTTAATGCTGGAAAGTTCAGTTGCTCTACCATAATTTTTTTGTTTTTTGTTTTCTGGTCCTGAAAGACAGGCCTCTTACCATTACAGGCTCTTCCACATTGAGATATTTCTTAACTCTGTGTTTGGAAAGTTTCTGAAGTTCACTTTGGGGTTAGAGATTCCATGTTAGGACATCATCTCACCCAGAGGAGAAGAGGGACAGCCAGGTCTCTTTTGAAATCTAACCAATAGTTCATACAGATTATAAATGTTTTACTCGTTTGATAAGAAGGTAGACACAATAGGTATTTCTGGAAGCTCAGATTAGGCCTTTGTTCTTTGCTCCTTTCGCCCTCTCCTCCTCTCCCTCGTCTTCATGGTGGGGAGTTCTTCTTGATGGAGTTTGCTCTGGGAAGGTGGACGAGGGAGTTTTGTTGAAGGTTTAAGGACTAAGCCTTAAACTGAAAGGCCTTGTAATGCAGAGTCGGAGAGACTTTCCTTCCCTCTTGTCTGGTTGAATGACTGCTTCCACTATTCCAGACAGCCTGCTCCTTGAAAGCTTTGTTCAGATGCGCAGACATACTTTCAACTTAACATTTTCCTTTTTTCCTCCAGGGATTAAAGCCTCTAGTTTCCACAGAAGCACCGCCTATCATATTTGCCACACCAACTAAACTGACTTCTGATTCTACTGCATATGATTATGCTGGGAGAAACAAAGTTCCAGAGCTGCAGAGGTTGTTCCAGGTGAGAGAAGACAGTCTAGAACAGAGAAGCTTGTGAAATAAGTAGGCTTAAAAAAAACCTTATGAAACTGAGTCTTAATCTAGTTTACTACTCACTTTCCCTTTTTCCTTACATAGAATTCTCTTGATTTTAGTTTGAGCCACAAACTAGTAGAACTTTATGTAAGTAGAAACTGATAAAAGGAGAGGGGGTGATGAGTTTCCTCATCAGCATTTAAGGGTATGCAGGTTTTCAGATTGCATATATAGTTATTGATCATCCATTGGATGGAGGAAGCAGTAGCATGTGTAATGAATAATAACACTGAGTAATCCAGTATGTGTTTGGCTTCATAACGCATGCAGTGACTTTTGGCAACAAGTTTTCTTGTAATTGTTTTTTGCTTGCTTGATATTAAAATTCACTGAGCTGTTGCTAGAAGTGTAGGAGGCTCTCTTGGGTTTGCTGATCAACCGAGAGAAGCCAGAATTGGATTTTAAAATAGTATTAACATTAATCTGCATACAGATAATTGAGAGGTTGGTGACCTGACTACATACATCTCAGGCACCAGGGGAGTTGGCAGCGCCTGTTATGCTGTTGCTGGAAGGTAGCTTCCCCCTCCTGAAAAATTTGTCCAGAGTCAGGAGCAGCTTGGGAACTTTTGATCAGTTTAATCCCTTTTATCTGATAAGTAAGACTTGAACGGGCATTTGGGATCTTGAGTTGTGGTGGGCAGGGATTTTGGAGACTGGGCGAAATAATGGATTAAACGTTTTATATAGGCTCATTATTAAACGGAGATTTAACAGCCTAATGAAAAGAAGGCAGTTGAATACAAAATGGACTTGAACCTATTAATTGACCTAGTATGCTCAGACTTCATCCGCTAATGCTCACAAGTCAAACTAGATGTAGAACTAAGTGTGGAGCCTTTCTCGTGCCTATAATTCTTTGTTTAGCTGCTGATTACCTTTGCCTTTCAAAAACATTCACCAGTGCTGCTTTCCTAGTTAAGCAATATATGATAAATTCCTTAGAAATTTGCAATTTGTTGCATGCATGTTCCTGAGGCTGCATGTTGAATGACTTTGGACTTAGACACTTTAGCTACATTTATAAGAAAATACACCAATATTTCAGTTAGCATGCTAATGGATTAGGGCTTTTCCCACTGCAGTGTGTTGATGGATTAGTTATATAAAGTAGAGACATTTGTTCTTGATTAGCCTAAATTGTAAAATCTTTTTCTTATCAACCATGTCCTTGATAATTCTTGCTTTCAAGAAATCCGATGGTGTGCCCATCCACCTGAAACGAGGCCTGCCTGACCAAATGCTTTACCGGACCACCATGGCGCTGACGCTGGGAGGGACCATCTACTGCCTGATCGCCCTCTACATGGCTTCACAGCCCAGAAACAAATGAGTTGGGCTGCAGAGGACTGGTTTGCTTTTTGGCATAAACCCTTTGAATTTTCATTTTTCATTGTTTCTGTAAAATTTTTCTTTTTTACTTGAATGGTCTACTTAACATTTTGCAGGAAAAATAGGAAGATATTAAGACGGTATTTTGGTTTGTTTATGAAATGCTCATGGCCTGTCAGAGCTCATTCGACAGTTAAAACTGTTGTTTAAAGCAGTGCTGCTGCTCTCCGAGCTTGGGCTCCTGATTCCCCGGGAGGTTCTGCATGAAGGTTGCACGCAGGCTCGTGAACAGCAGTCTGTGCTTAGGGTCTTGGGGACTTAGAGTGGGGTTTTGAGCATGGGGTGCTGAAGCCTTTCTAGGTTTGGATGTGAGCGGGGAAGGAAGACCGAAGTGAGGCCAAGCACATAAACTGAGGGATTTGAGTTAGTGGTCACCTTGGGGATTTTTCCATCTTGCAGTAAAATGTTAACAGAAATTATCTGCAGCCTGTCTCTATTCATCAGGCAGTTTGTTTCTAAGGGTTATTTGCCTCATCTCAGATCTTTAGTGACGTTTTGTGTGTAATTGTTGTGTATTTATTCCACCATGGGAACAGAGAACACCTGTTTAGTGTTGCACTTTAGACTGATGTCTGTTTTATTAATGCAGCTGTGACACAAATTCCCCTTTACCTTTTAAAAATGTTATGGCTTTAAATTATGATTTATTTTGATTGTGGAATAAATACATGGATTAAAAAATCTCAAGTTTGAAGTCCTTTTAAATGACCTTTCAGAATAATTTCAGAACACCAGAGGCGTCTTAAATCGAACTTCTTTCCTTTTACTTAGGCACCAGATAATCTTTACAAGACAGTTCCTCAAAGTCAGGTAATAGGAGGCTAATGGCATAGTGATGATTACCATATGGTTTCTTATAAGAAACCTGCTTGTTCCTTAGTGAAATATGCCTGTAACACACATTCATTTAGACGTAATTTCCTGTGCTGTCACAAGTGGTAGACTTCACATACCCTATATTAATGCTGAAAAATGGTGGAATTTTATTATATATAAAGTAGTGGTCTGTCTTGCCATAGCAAAGAACAGTGATGTCTTACTGAGGATAAAGTATGGTGTTTGAGAACATTCACTATCATTCTCACAGGCTAGGAAGCCCTTATTTGTCTGTACAAGTCTAAACTTTATTCTTCTCTAGTATTTCTTCTTAGTTTTGTTTTGTTTTTTAAAGATTGGCACCTGAGCTAACAACTGTTGCCAATCTATTTTTTTTTCTTTCTGCTTTTTCTCCCCAAATCCCCCCAGTACATAGTTGTGTATTTTAGTTGTGGGTCTTTCTAGTTGTGGCATGTGGGATGCCGCCTCAGAGTGGCCTGACGAGCGGTGCCATGACAGCGCCTAGGATCCGAACCAGCAAAATCCTGGGCTGCCGCAGCAGAGCGCATGAACTTAACCACTTGGCCATGGGGCCGGCCCCTCCCTTAGTTTTTATTGTGAAAAATTTCAGACTACGAAAGATTATAAGAGTAGTACAATATACACCTAGATATCCATCACTTAGATCACCAGGTATCAACATATTGCCACCTTTACTGTTTCTTGCTCCCTCACAAACACTGGCACCCACAGTGAATGTTCTGTACACACATTTGGTTTTTGCTGAATCATTTAAGATTAAGCTGTGGAATTATGGTAATTCAGTCATAAATACTTTAGCCAGTATCTCCTAAGAATAGGGACATTTTCCTTTATAACCATAATACAGTTCTCACACTCAATTTAACTTTGATAACAGTACTACTATCTAATAGATAGTCTATACTTCAATTTTCCCAGGTATCCCAATAATATGTCTTTATAGTTGTGTTTTTTAAAATAACAGCTTTATTGCAATGTAGTTCACATACCATACAATTCACGTATTTAAAGTGTACAATTCACTGGTTTTTACTGTATTCAGAATTGTACAACCATTGCCACAATCAATTTTCAAAAGTTTTTATTACCCTAAGAGGAAATCCTATGCCCGTTAGCAGTCATTTGTCTTCCCCACTCCACCCCTTAGCCCTAGGCAATGCTAATCTATTTTTTGTCTCTGTAGATTTTCCTGGACGTTTCATTTAAATATAATCGTACAATATGTGATCTGTTGTCACTGGCTTGTTGGTAAAATGATTTTGAGGCACACCCATGTTGTAGTATGTATTGGTACTTCATTCCTTTTTATGGCTGAATAATATTTCACTGTATAGATATACCACATTTTGTTCATCATTTGATGTACATTTGGATTATTTCCACTTTTTGGCTGTTATGAATAATGCTTCTGTGAACATTGGTGTACAAGTTTTTGTGTGGATGTGTCTTTTCATTTCTCTTGGGTATATATCTAGGAGTGGAATTGCTGGGTCATTATGGTGACTCCATGTTTACCTTTATGAGGAACTGCCAGACTGTTTTCAAATGCACTGCAGCATTTTACCTTCCCTTTAGCAGTTATAGTTGGTTTTTGTTTTTGTTTTGGGTCCAGGATCCACTCAAGGATCACATGTCACATTTAGTTATGTCCCTTTAGTCTCCTTTTATCCAGAACAGTCGTCAGTGTCTTTTGTGACATTGACCTGTTTGAAGAGTTCATGCCAGTGTTTTGCAGAACATCCTTCAACTTGGATTTGTCTGTCTCCTTATGATTGGATTCAGGTGAAACATTTCTGTCAGGAATTCTTCATCTGTGATGTATCATTGTATCAGGTGGTACTTGATACCAGTGTGTCCCGTTGTTGGTGATTTGAAGTTAGATAATTTAAGATGTTGTCTGCCAGCTTTTTCCCCTTTGTAATTAATAAGTAATTTCTGGGGTGATGTTTGAGACAGGGAATATCCTGTCCTCAACAGTTTTGCACCCATCGTTAGTGTTCATTGGTGATTCTTTGACTGAATCATTTATTACTAAGGTGGTTGTAAAAAAGTGATTTTCTATTTTATCTTCCTTCTACATTCTTGCCATTTTTCTGTGAAGATGTATAACACCCTTTTAAGAAGTTTCAGTGTAATTCTCTCATTCATTGTAATAACCGTCTCTGTTATTATTCATTTCAGTACTCAAATTCAGCCCAGATTTGGCTTCCGTGTCCTATTGACAGGCCTGTCAATCTTTGAACATTTCTTTACTTTCTGACACGCAAGATGCTTTCCATGCTGACCTTGTGTTTTCTTCACCCGAGTTCCCTCTGCTTACTTTCAGGTATGTTCTGTTCATATATGTATATTGCATTTTCCTTCTCTGCCTGTTTTATTTTTGCCTAAATGGTACTGTTTATTCCTGCTACACACTCATAGTTTGGAGATTGTTCTCTGCCTCATTTTTTTGCACTGTGTTTTGATTTACAAATACACCATAGTTTAACTAATCTCCTTTTGATGATTATTTAGTTTTAAATTTTTTGCTTTTACAAACACTGCGTTAATGTATAATCTTCTTTACCTGTCATTTTACATATTGTTGAATGTATTTGTAGGATAATTTCTAGAAGTGAAACGTCGTCGGCAAAGGGAGTGTGCGTTTCCAATTTCAATAGCTATTCCTCACTGAAAGAGATGATGCTGATGTACGTTCCTGTCTAGCTGTGATGAGGTTGCTGGTTCCTTCTCCCCTTTGCCAGCAGAATGCATTGTCAGACTTTTCATCTTTGCCAATTTGATAAGGGAAAAATTTCTTTGGTTTCACTTGCCTTTTTGTGGTAATTAGTGGTGTTGAATTATCTTTCTTTTATTTAAAATTTATTTTTATCTTTTCATTTTTTGTGAACTATCTATTCATGTACCTTGCCCACTTACGTCCAGGTACTTTTGATAATGCCGTAATGTCATTAGTCCATCAGGCTGGCTTCCTCAGGAACAGCCTCTACTGACTCCAGTCTGAGCCGAACCTCTTCTGATTGCAGGTCCCAGCAATTCATTAAAACCAGCCAATGCAGAAAGGGGGATTTTCTAGAACCCAGGTGGACCTGGGCCTTACAAGGACTGCTTTGGGACCAAGGCGGTTATCCTTTCTGTCACCCTGTTGGCTGTGCAGCTGTTTAATTCTCTGTTTCTGGGGACCAGCTTTCTCTGTTTCTTGTTGCACATGGTAGGAAATGGTTGTCCAGCCACTGGAAACCAGTCCCTAATTTAGGAGAGAGAATCACTGGGCTATTTTGGGTCAGGTGTCCCCCTACTGGGCCAGTCACCTGTTTAGCGCCAGGCCGTAGGGGCGGATGCAGAGAAGGATAACTGTCTTGTTCTCGGGTCTTAACTGACGGCTCCGAACCTTTTGCTATATTCTCAGAGGATTATTCCTTCTAAGCACTTTACTTTGAACCCTTGCCAGGTTGCTTTGTTTACTCATAGGAGCACCATCCTGCTTGTCAGTGCTGTCTGGATGAGGTGCTGTCAACAGAGGGACATTCACCCTCCTCGCCTCCTCCAGGCCATGTGGTTAGTCTTTACAGCAGTGGTCTGGGCTCCCATACCCCTGGGGGTAGGAGAACTCCATGGGATACCCAGGCAAGGATAGTTTTGAGGGGATCAAGTTTTAGGTCCTCAGCTTTCATTACACCTACTAAAATTGAGCTGCCTGAGAACACACCTGCCTAAGGGGTCCCTTATAATCTTTTTCACTCTATGAAAGGAAGGCAAACACCTCACACGTGCTAGTCAGACCATGGTGTGTTGCCCTAGAGTGTAAAAACCATCTCTAGGGCGCAGTGGGGATAATCCCAAATATTGGTAATGTTGAGAATATGACTTTAATGACTAGGTAACAAATCCTTTTACAAGTTATAAGTTTTCTGAGTCTTTGCTTTTAACATAATTGAAGGAGGAACCAACTGAGTTGTCAGTTGATGATTAAAAATAATTTTGTTAATAGATCACTGCATGACTTCTGTTGTATAACTGAGGAGTTCAAAGAATTCAGAGATGTTGCTATTACAGTTTCCATTCCCATCTATCTATTTGTGAAAACAAGGTTTCTCAGTGCTTACTATCTGTAAAAATAAAAAATAGGAATGGAATTGGTACTAAAATTGTCTTATTTTAAGAGTAAGCAAGATTCATCCGTGAACCAGCTTCCTCTCTCTAATTAGGATGCATTTCTAGTAAAATATTGCTCATATTTAATAATTAGCAATATTTGTATTCTTTCATTTTGATCAAATATGTACAAAGAATAATTGTAATTGGTCCAAAATGAAATATTTTTTAACATTAGAGCTTATGATCACAGGAAATTTAACCAAAATTTAAATTTTAGTATATTACAGTGTGATTTTTTTTTCCTGCTTTTTCTCCCCAAATCCCCCCCTGTACATAGTTGTATATTTGTTTTAGTTGTGGGTCCTTCTAGTTGTGGCATGTGGGACGCCACCTCAGTATGGCCTGACAAGTGGTGCCATGTCTGCGCCCAGGATCCGAACTGGCGAAACCCTGGGCTACTGAAGTGGAGCGCGCAAACTTAACCACTCAGCCATGGGGTCGGCCCCTCCATTGTGATTAAGAAGAGACTTTCAAGCCTAAAAATATATCACATTATGGTAAAATTTGGGGGGTAAAATTCTAGGTGGAGGAGTGAAATAGAAATATAAGTTCAGGGGCTGGCCCGGTGGTGCAGTGGTTAAGTGCACACATTCTGCTTCAGTGGCCCGGGGTTCGCCAGTTCGGATCCCGGGTGCAGACATGGCACCGCTTGGCAAGCCATGCTGTGGGAGGCGTCCCATGTATAAAGTAGAGGAAGATGGGCCCGAATGTTAGCTCAGGGCCAGTCTTCTTCAGCAAAAAGAGGAGGATTGAAGGCAGATGTTAGCTCAGGGCTAATCTTCCTCAAAAAAAAAGTTCAGGAGGAAATTTCTGACTGTTAAATAGACATTTGTATTTTTAATTAGATGAAGTTAGTTGTCTAGTTGCAATGGTATTTACATTCTACTGGATATATTTATAAGAGTGATGTAACAGTTGAAGCTAATATTTACAGGACACCAGAAACTACACTCTTTGCAAGTATTTAAACTTACAGGGAAAAATTTTAGATGTTCACCTTATGTATGCAAAAGGGTACACATAGATTTTCAAAATTCTTTTAGCGTACACAAGAGTAGGAAAAGTTGGAAATGGCTATCTGTTAACTGGCCAGATTTCTTTGATTTATGTACTTTTCCTCCCCTTTATGTGTGTGACTCTGGCCAGGATCCCTGGGCTTGTCTGAGGTTAAGGTGTCTAATCCCCAAGTCCTCTTTTGGACTTTTCTTGGAAGCTGTCAGAAACCTCTCACTTTCTGGCCCATTAATCTTCAATAGCTAGAGGTTACACCAGGGGCAATAATGATTGATTGCTTAGTAATTCTGATACTAACTGGTCCCATTGATTCAACACATTTATTTGACATTTTGTACATATCCTGGATTGGATCACTCTTTAATCTAGCACCAAAGACTGCCCAGGTTGGGTTGGTTGAGAAGCGGGTCCTGTCCTTAATGTTCCTCTTGTCAGGTTCATTGGCCATCATCCTTGGTTGTCCAGGGCCTCCTTTGATCCACGTTCATCAAGGAGTTCCACCAATTCTCTGTTTCTTCCAGATATTTAATTAGTGTGCAAAAGCACACACTATTAGCTGCCAGGGACCCAGAGATGAATCAGATACCTTTGCCTTTGTAGGCAAGCACTGTGATTGTATTTAAGGAAATTCCTTGAAAATTTTTAGGTCCTTTTCAGGTTGTATCTCAACCTCTTAGAGCTGGTAAACCATATAGCCAAGAAACTTTGTTGTTATGGAGGAATTCCACTGTTATCTCTCCCCTGTTCTGATCTGGGAGCTCCGTGGGACTGGTGGGGTTTGATTGCTTAAGATAGGCTGGCCCTGTGTGGGTATGGTTGCGGGGAAGCCTGGTTGCAGCTACTGTTCTGGAAAATTTGTTGCACCGTGGCTGTAGCTGGTTGACCCTCAGTTGTCATGGCAGCATCAGCCTCCCCTTGCTCTCATTACATGAATAGAGCAACTGGGGTGAGTGGCTCAGCCACCTCCCAAGGTAGGACAGGAGTGGGATGGGTCATTTGCGGTCTCTGCTGTCTTCAGCTATCACTTGCATAAGCTTTAGTCAGGAATTCTGAGCTTGGTGTGGCTTCAGGGTGCACAGGGTGCTGTGCTGCCGCAGGAGCTGTTGGGGTGGGCGGATTGAGACCAGACGATGCTTGCTCAGCGTCCAGTGTCTGTTAGAGCCGATTTCCAAGGGAGCTGCTACAAAATGCTAATGCAAACTGGGCAAGCACAGTGGCTGGGAATAGCATTCTTTAGATAATATTTTTATCCTCAAGTTCTGACACAGTTCTCCTGGGACATGATGCGTTCCTTGCCCTAACCTTGTCCATGACACTGAGCTTTGTCATGGTCACATGGCTGTACCTCAGGGCTGAAGCACAGGCCCTTCACACTGTCCAGCATGTGCTAGCCAGATTGGAATCTTTGCCAGCTCCAAATACCACATTCTGATGGAAATTGGCTGAAGCTGCCCTAGGCTGTCAGAAACGGTGGGGTTGCCTCCCAGTCAGCAGAGAAAAAGGGCCTTGGTATGACTCCAAAGTACAACTGACAAAATTAGGGACCTGGGTTTTCAAAAGCAGAAAAGGACAGGTTGAGACTGCAGGCCAGTACCGAGCGCCTGGGTCAAGTGCTAGGAAGTTGACTCGGAAGGAGGGGGTTTCCTGAGGGCACCTAGCCACAGGAAGGCCACGCCAGGGCTCCTCATGCATTTCAGCACTCCGAAGGGGAGGGAGAGAAGTGGGAAGAGGGCAGGGAGGAAAGAGGCGCTTGGGCAGGGGTCTCCTGGCCCCTGGGCTCACTTCAGGGTCTGGCTGTACCAGGCTGACGCTTATGTTGTTGAGAGAGTGGAGCCTGACCCCGGGATTGTGGAAAAGCCGAGGAAGGAGGCAGCTTGGTTGCTCAGCTCAGCCCGAGCCCCTCTCCTCAGGGAGGCCCTGGCACAGGTTATAGAAGTGCCTTGCCTCCAGAGAGGGTGGGGGAAAGATGTAGGATGTTCCAGAATTGGTTAATACCTGTCAGGCTTCTAGCCACCTTCCCCTCCCCCACAACTCTCCTGCTTAGGCCATGAAACCTCCACATTAGACAGCAGATTCATATGAAAATTGAGTTGCAGCTGGTTGAGTTGATGTCAACTTCAAAGTTCAGAGGTATTTAATTAAAACCATTGCGAGACTAAACCTGCTCCCAGGAAATTATTCTGACCGAATAGTTAAAGAGAATAAAGGTTAGATTGTATTTCTGGCTAAGTCTGTGTTGCAATCGGCATCTCCAAAACATGAATTCCATTAACCTTTCATGAACCAACATTAAATTGCTTTCAATTAGTTGTCATTCTAATTAGAGTCACACAGAACAGCCTTTGTTTATACTTGATGTCTGTTCCCTTTTCTCCTCTGGAATTTTGTCCTTGAAGAAACAGTCATTTGGAAAATTGGAAAACTTGATGTGCCTGCCCATCCCTCCCTTAGTCGGGAGCCGTAGAGTGTCAGAAAGAATTGCACCAGGGGAAGCAGGCGCGGCTGCAGCAGGAGGTCTGGGGTAAGTGAGCACTGCTGCGGGGGGTTGAGGTGTATAATTTGCAAAAATGTGTCCTGTGGCCGTGGGAAATCAGCAATAGTTTAGGTAACCCACCCAGCTCAGGGCAGCTTGGGCAGGCCTCCAGGACCTCTTGGGGAGGTGAGGTGAGGCAGGGTCTTCCCAGGAGGGCCTTGTGGGTCGGGAGGGCCTGTGCTGCCCTTCGCAGTACGTGACCTAGCTCTGCCTGAGCCATTATGCCTTGAGTGTAGGTGGCCCTGCTCCTGCCAATCAGACCTCATCTGGGCCTGTCTGCAGCCTCAGTGTCCTGCTAGAGCCAGCAGTCCCAGGCTCCTATCTAGTGGCCACAGCAGGAAGAGCCAGGGAGGATGATGGGATCCACCACTGTTCCCTGCTCCAGGACTTACCTATACTTTGTCACCCAGCATATTTTTTCTGTTTATTTCCCTGAGTGATTGTGGATGTGATGTGTTATAGCCAGGAAAGAATCTCTAAGCTAACCCGGGATTCCTCAAGGCGGACCATTCTGGGCTCCCAGTACTCAGGAGGCAGGGCGGGGAGATCTGCTTTCTTCAGCTCCTGGTGGGCAGAGGTCAGAGGTGCTGACTGTACCCTTACTTGTGTACCCTGGGGATGTGAATGTGTGGTGAGGACACTTGCTGGTCTTTGCAGAGCTCCATGCTGTGCTCTGGGCATAGAAGAGCCTCACTGTGGTCTGGGATCTGGGCCCGATGCCGTTAAAAACAGAAGGGGCGGCCTGCCTCCACTTGCCAAGACAGTTGTGCTTCAGGAGCAAGAGCAGCTCAGGCCTGGAGTTTCCTAGTGCTGCTAGCCGACATGGCCACTTCTGAGCTGGCTCTTGAAGTCTTGTTGGCTCTTCTCTTTCCTGATTCCCCAGCTCGCTGGGCTGTCTCTGGTCCCCACAAGTTTTACATTCTTCTCTTAAGGGCCATCAAGTGCCCTGTTATCCTTTCCCACAGTGCTTTTCCATGAGCAGATCTGGGGTTACCTGAGGATAGGCACCCTGTGTCCCTGTCATACTGGGGAGTTGCCCCATCTTCACCATCAGTAATCCAGTAACAGCACAGACCATTCATTCTGTAGGCGCTGTGTGCCAGATTCTGTGTGGGGCAGTAGAGACCAGAGAGAGGTGACACTGTCCCTAGCCTCTGGAGCTCACAGAATGATAAGCACAACCAAAGTACAACAGAACTGTCCAGAGTCAGGGCCGGTGCCCAGGAAAGCGAGGGGAGGAGTGGCCGAGATGTGCTCAGAGGGGGCACTGTTTAAATTGCATAGTGTGTGCTTAGGTGGTTTCCAGGAATATACAGTGGGGAGGGACATTTGGCCTGAGGGATGAGTGCATGCTGATGTGTGAAAGCATCCTGGATGTACATGAGAGGAGGTGGGAAGAGAGAAATGGCAGAACCTATGACTTGAAAGGGAGGCTCAGGACCAGCTCACAAGGAACCTTCCTGGGGCTGGGCCAAAGAGAGCTTGGACTCTACTCAGTAAGCAATAAGTGTGTGGTGTCTGTGTGTGTCATGGCCACAGAATAATCCAGTGTTCTTTTTGTTCTTTGGAACCCATGGTGCCAATATGGAGGACAGATTGGAGAGGGACAAGACTCGAGGCATTTGCATAGTTAAGTGTTAAGAGAGTTCAGCTGAGAGATAACGAGGGCCTGGGGAGCAGTGGCAGTGGGCCCAGAGGGAAAGGAATGAATCCCAGGATGTTAAGAAGGCAGAATGAGCACAGTGTGACAGTTGGTTGGACATCGGAGGTAAGGGTGAGGAAGGCTTTCGGGTGCTCCCAGGATGACTCAGCTTGGCTTCTGGGTGAGTGGAGGTGCAAGACTCGGGGTAAACAGGGCAGGGCATGTTTTGTTGGAAAAAATGGATTGCTTGTGAGACCTCTAGGCAAAGAATTCCAGTAGACACTTGGGTCTGGAGATGAGGCAAGGAGTCTGGACTGGAGATAACAATTGCAGAGTTAGCAGAATACAGGGGCAGTGGCAGCCGTAGGCATCTGTTCCATTGTTAGGGAGTGTGTGTAAGAGTGAGGAAACAGGATGGGGGAAACAAATATTTCTGGAGTGGGTGGAGAGGAAGGGAGCCTGTTACGACTCACAGGGGTAAAGGACAGAAGGAACTCACACATAATGTTGTGCAAAGGAAGCCAGACACAAAAGAACATGCTGTATGTTTCAGTTTATATAAAAGTCAAAACCAGGCAAAACTAATCTGGGTGATTGAGGTCAGAATAGAGGTTCCCCTTGTCAGGGAGTCCTCACGGGAGGAGCTGTAGGCAGACTGCTGAGTGCTGGAAAGGTTCCAGATCTCCATGGGGTGGGTGTGTTCATATGGATACACACACACACGGGTACACTGAAGTTTGTACATGTTACTGTAAGTTACACCTAAAAAAAATCTTAAAAAGGAAGGAAGATGGAGTGAAGGGAGGAAAAATAATTTTCCTTCCACTCTTCTGAGTTCTTGGCTGAGACCTGTAATAAAAGACTGATTAACCAGAGAAAAACAAATGGAAGTTTAATAACATGTATCCTTCATGTGTACAGGGGAGATACCCAGGGGAAAATGAGTCACTCCCTGAGGTACCTTAGAATTCAGGCTTAAATACTGTCTTAATAGAGGAAGGGGAGGGAGAGTAAATGATTTTTCGGGAAGATGAATGGGCCCTTGGAGGAATAGATGGGAGGTCTGATAGTTTGCAACCAGGTCTGTCTGGGTGTGGTGTGGACTTTCAGTCTCCTCCTGTGGGAAGAGTCAGTCTTCCCTGGTTGATGAAACTCCCCAGGAGGAGATTTGTGACAGCTGAGTTCCTTTTGGAGGCTCCATCTTTAGGCAGATAAAGGGAGTTCAGACGGCCTGCCCCGGCACTGGCTGTTTTTTAAGTGCCTACTGCTCAAAATAATCAATATACCAAAGTGGCATATTTTGGGGTGCCATATTCTGCTACAGGAAGGAAGGGAAGGGAAGGAGAAGGGAATGGAGGGGAGGGCAGAAGGGAAGGAAGGAAGCTGGAGCCAGTGGTGTCAGGAGAACATGGGGTTTTCACGAAAGAGGATGATGACCAGTGTCACTCACACCCAGAGGTTAGGCACTGGGCTGACTCCGTGGAGTGGCATGGATATATGGGCTGTGTCCTTTCACTAGTGTGTGTCCCTAGCGCTGTTGAATGCATGGCATAGAACAGACCCTAATATTGAATCAGATTAGGGGAGGAGCAAAGGTCCTAGGTCAAGGGCATACCTGAGAAATCTCCCATGCCTTGTCCATAGCTCCCAGCAGGGCAAATGGCCACATCTTTGGTTTCCTTAGCGCCCTCCCAGACGAATCCCTATGTTTAAGTTCAATAACGTTTAATAAAAAATGTTATTAACTACTATAATTTAATTTAAAAGAACTTCCTTCTATTTTAATGTGAGGGTTTCCCATAGAAACCACTTCAGCTTTGGCGCCTGTGAATGGCAGGTTTATTAAGGGAGCCATCTGCAGGCTTCCCTAGCTTTCCTAACAGTCTGTCACACTGCTCATTGCTTCCAGTGCAAACACTGCTTTTTGTGATGGAGGCCCCAGCCAGTCATCTGGAGGAGACTGCCTTTCCTGCTCTCTGTTGCAGGGACTGCTCATCTCTTTCTTTTGTGCTCCTTGAATGCTGGGCCTTCACAAAGCAGGGGCAGGCAGAGCCCGTGAGCTCAGCAGATGTCTCTCCCTGTGGATCAGATGCGCTTGGTGGGCAAGGCCCTTAATCTCTTTTTCAGATCAAGACCAGGGACAGCACAGATAGTACCTAAACTTACCAAAACCCACGATGAAAATGCTTTTTTCATCGCAGCCCCAAGTTTTTCATGTCAAATTCCTCACTTGCCCCTAAGGAAGGGCTGACCCATCATCAAGTGGGAATGGGGTTGGTGCTCCAGGGTCCTGTGAGGGCTTGAGTCCTAACACATTCTTCTGAGAGAGAGGGGACTCTTGGCTCAGCTCAGAATTAATTCATCTTCTAAATGGAAATGTCGAAGCCTGGCAAACATTCCTGTTAATGATTCTGGTGATGAGATATTCATGGGCAGCAAACAGTAGGCCTCACGAAAATGAATTTTGCCGATGAAGCTGGGGGCCTGTCCCTCTCAAGGGAGAAAGCCTGGTCACCTAATCTCAGTTCTGCAGCAGTTTCACAAGGGCCCTGCTAAAGAGTGGAATTCTTCTTTTCCTTGTTGTTTTATTAATTCTGAATAGGGGAAGGTGGTTCAGCCCAAGCGCCTGAGGGAAGGCAGCAGCAGGGTGGCTTCAGCACAGGTTTCCAAGAAAGGGAGTGAGTACCATAATATACAAAGAACTCACACTGCTTAACAACAAAAAAACAAACAACCTGATCAAAAAATGGGCAGAGGACATTTCTCAAAAGAAGATATGAATATGGCCAATAGACACATGAAAAGATGTTCATCATCGCTAATCATCAGGGAAATAAATGCAAATCAAAACTACACTAAGATATCACCTTACACCCGTTAGATTGGCAAAAACATCCAAAACCAAGAGCGACAAATGTTGGAGAGGTTGTGGAGAAAAAGGAACCCTCATACACTGTTGGTGGGAATGCAAACTGGTACAGCCACTATGGAAAACAGTATGGAGATTTCTCAAAAAGTTAAAAATAGAAATACCCTATGACCCAGCCATCCCATTACTGGGTATCTATCCTAAGAACCTGAAATCAGAAATCTCAGGAGTCCTGTGCACCCCTATGTTCATCGCAGCATTATTTACAATAGCCAAGACGTGGAACCAACCTACATGCCCAGAAACTGATGATTGGATAAAGAAGATGTGGTATATATACACAATGGATCTAGGTGGAAGTTAGTATATTGATAAGGAGATCTGATCGGTGGTTACCAGGGAAAAGGGGGAGTGGGGGGAGGGCACAAAGGGGGAAGTGGTGTACCCACAACATGACTAACAAAAATGTACAACTGA